TGTAAAATAAGAACTCTGTTCCTCAAGGAGCACTCTCTGAGGCCCTAATCGCTTAGGATGCTCTGAGCAAAGGGCCCCATGATCCAACGAGTCATGAATTGCGCACTCGTCCCTCTTCAGAGATCCCGTGGGCACTTACAGAATTACTGGGAGGAATAGGGTCTGTTTCCCCTTACTTAGTCAAACATTTCCTGAGCCTGTTGGGTCACGGAAAGGTTTCTCCTCATCACACACATTGGGAAATGCAGGTCAGGATGAGGGTCAAGACCCCTTAGTGCTGCCCTTCTAACAGCATGATTGAGTATAATTCGTGTATCATAACATTCACCCATTTAAAGTGTACAGTTGAATGGGTTTTAGTATATTCATCACCCCAAAAAGAAACCTTGTCCCTACTAAAAGTCATTTACTGTGCCCCCACTGTCAGCTCTGAGCTACACTAATCTGCTTTCTGCCTCTCTGGATGCCTATTCCAGACGTTTCATACGCACGGAGCCGTACGCTGAGCGGCCTTTTGTGCCAGCTTCTTTCGCGCGGCACCGTGTTTTGAAGACCCCTCCCTGTTGTAGCAGGGTTACCGCTTCGTCCCTTTCACTGCCGAGTACTGCTCCATTGCGTGGAGAAGTTTATCCATCCAATGTTGCTTATCCGTCATCAGTGGAAGGACACTTGGGTTGCTTCCACATTTTGGCCATTACGATGAATGCTGCTACAAAAATCTGTGTACAAGTTTTTGTGTGGACCTGTGTTTTCATTTCTCTTGGGCATATACCTAGGAGTGAAAGTGCTGGCTCACTTGGTAACCCTATGATTAACTTTATGAGGACCTGTCTGACTGTTTTTTCATGGTAGCTGTGACATTTTATATTCCCACCCATAGTACATGAGGGTTCCAATTTCTCTACATCCTCACCTGCACTTACTAGTATCTATCTTGTGAGTATAGCCGTCCTTGTAGGTGAGAACTTACAGTTTTGATTGGCATTTCCCTGGTGACTAATGATGCTGAGCATCTTTTCATGTGCTTCTTTGGCCATTTGGAAACCTTGTCTAGAGAAATGTCTATTCAGATCCTTTGTCCATGTTTAAGTTGGGTTATTTGGTTTTTATTCTTGAGTTATAAGAGTTCTTTATATATGCTGAATATAAGTCCCCTACCAGACATCCGATTTGCAAATAGCTTCTTCCATTCTGTAAGTCATCTTTTCACTTTCTTGATGGTATTGTTTGCAGCATAAAATTTTTAATTTTGATTAAGTCCAATGTATCTATTTGTTCTTTGTTGCTTTTGCTTTTGATGTCCTACCTGGAAACCATTGACTAAACTGATGTTATAATGATTTGCTCCTAAGTTTTCTTCTGTTTTATAATCTTAGCTCTTACATTTAGATCTACGATACATGTCGAATGAATTTTTGTGTAGCTGTGAGCTCTGACTTCATTCTTTTGCATGTGGACATCCAGTGTCCCAATAGCATTTGTTGAAATGGTCAACTGAGCTTCCTTGGCATCCTTGTCAAAAATCAACTGACTGTAAACGTAAGGGTTTATTTCTGGGCTCTCGATTTCATTCCATTGGTGGATATGTCTGTCCTTATGCCAGAATCATACAGTCTTGATGACTGTATTTTATAGAAAGTTTTGAAATCAGGAAGTATGAATCCTCCAATTTTGTTCTTTTCCAAGATTGTTTTGGTTCTTCTGGGTCTCTTGTATTTCCATCTGAATTTGAGGATCAACACGTCAATTTGTGCAAAAAAATTACTGGGATTTTGATTTCCTGGAGTTCTTAGTCTCCTCTACCAACAGAGGCAGACAGATGCTGAGAATGCATTGAGTAACACAGTGTTAAAGGTTTATGGTAGAGAGCAAGAAAGTAACGGAGAGATCAAAGACTTATAGAGACAAGTTATGTAAGCACGACTATTACTTTAGTAAATATTGGCCGATGTGGAATTTTGAATTTTTTTATTCCTAAAAATCCCTGTTTTAATCCTATAATCTTCTCATTCTTGAAACTACACCTCAGCCCTCATACCTCAGAAAAAAGAGGCCCCAGGAGACACGGAAAAAGAATAAAAGATAACTCAGCAATAAAAAGGAGCAAGTATTGATATAGGTAACCACAAGGATGACTCCCAAAAACACAGTGTGGAAGAAGCTAGACATGAAAGACTACACGTGTGATTCTGCTTATGTGATGTTTAAGAACAAGGAAAGCTAATCTGCAAGGACAGAAGCTGAAAATTGGTTTGGGGGTGGTGTGCTGGAAAACCCTCTGTGGGAACTTTCTGGGTTGATGGGACTGTTTTATTCTTGTTCTGAGTAGTTCATATAAAACTGCAAAAGTTTATTGTATGTAAATCACACCCTTAAAAATAGAAACCAGATAAAAGAAGCCAGTTCTTGACTTTTGGTCCTCCAATGGCCAAAGGGCTGGCATAAACTCTAGATTCGGGGGAAACACATCCGGTGACATTTTTTTCCTCTATGACCAAGAGAAGATGAAAATTCTCTCAGGGCTAAGATAATGTGAGGGGGGCCCTGGTGTTAGACATCGATGGTCCCCTAGAGGCCGGGGGTGGATGGAGGCTGAGTGGCCGAGCAGAACACAAGGACAGATGTCCGTCCACCTGTGCTGTCACAGAGGTGGGTATTGAGGGCAGATGGCTGTGAGGGCAGACACACGTGAGTGGTGAATGGTCGTTAGCAGCCAGCCCAAGGACTGTGTGCACGATCACAGACAAAATGGGCACGTGGGCAGCTCAGCAAGGTCCCCCAGGAGAGACAGTGTCTGAACAAGTGCTGCCTAAGCACCTGCAGACTCACGAGGAAGGAGGAGGTGGAGAAAATCCTGGGTTGGCGGAGCCTGAATCTAAAAGAACTGACCCTCCAGGAGCTGACTGAGACCACACTTTTTTAACTGAGCAAAATTAGTGCCCAAAATAGGTATTTTGTTGAAATGTAGGAAGAGTAAATTGAGCCATACACAGCACCTGAGTTTCACGGATTGGAAATTCAACCCTCTGCCCGTGGTGCCAACGGTGAGCAATTTGGCAGCTTAGGAGATGGATGGCACATGCATGGCAGGTGTAACGATCTCTGTGTTCTTCACTCTCTCCTTCTAATCGCTGATTTGCAATGAGCAACAGGCTGAGAAGGAGTGGGAACAGCATTTGTCCTGCAGCGCCCTCTCTGGGGTGGGCAATGAGGACATGGCTGAGGGACATGAGAAGAAACCCATGGAGCAGGCATTCAGTCGAGGCCAGGCTCCTATGACTCTCCTTGGCCTCAGGCCTTCCCATTTCACCCTCAGTCCTTCATCACACTCGTGCAAGAGAAGTGGGAAACCAGGAGGAATAGCAAGTCGTAAGCCTCATCCCAATGGACTCGAGTTTCCTCCGTTGTGAAGACAGCCCAGCTAGTCAGCTAGAGCATTTGCTCCAGGATACTTCCAGCAAATAGTTTACACTGAACCCACCACCTTCTCTTGCTTAATCCTCATGTCCAGCTAGTGGATGTTTACTCAATGAGCCTGGACTGGGTTCTGGGGGAACCACTTAGAACCAACGTTGAGAGCAACCCACTGAACTATAATTCTGATACCGACTGAAGATGACGGTGGTGCCCGAGGAGCACTCTACTGTCTCAGGGCAATTCCAATCCCAGCGGCAGGAGGCACGCTGGCCAGCCGGTAGGCACCACCTCCTTCTGCAATGTCTTGGAGGTAGGAAAGGTGCAGGACTGTCACTGAGGGCCTGCTGAATGCTAGAACTTCCCTGTTATCCCAATTTGTCTTTACTACCTTACGACAGAGTGAATGGAAAATAAGCAGATTTCTATGAATACTTAACTAATAGCATTTTAGCAAAACAAACCTATTACCCATTCAGTCATTGGAGAAAAGGAATGAAATGACTTGGAGTTTTGTTTTAGGTAATAATTATGGAACTTGAGACAGATAATCTAAAAGATCGTGAAATAATTTTAGGACACAGGCACAATAACCGTATTTCACTTTTCACTAAAAAACTTACTTTCAATGAAGGAATACAACTAATATCTAAATTTCTAGCTTATTTCTTACAGCCATAAGATAAAACCTTAACATAACCTCACTCGTTGTTATTAATTCCATTTCTGTTTTTTAAAAAAGCTCATGGATTTTGCTCAAGTAACTGTTCACATAATCCTTTCTCAAAAAAGCAGAATCTTACTGCTCAGACTGCTGGAAAATGGTCCCTGTGATTACAGACCTGAGAGAAATCAGCAACTGGAAAGAGAAAAGCCCTTTCGCCCCCATAAAACCTGCCCGTGAACTGACACCTTGAAAGAGAGGTGTATGATATATGGGCCATGGGGCTTAGCAGAGAGCAGGCCACGAGGGAGCCACAGCTCCTAGAAACAATATTGGTTTGAATAATTACATAGAGACACAGATAAGGATGTGGACATGTGCAAGCGTTTGATGGTCCCATTTAGCCTCATTTTTGCTAAATGTTTCTGTGTTACAAACATTTCCTTCCTTTTTCCTCACTCATGTGTGAATACCAAACTAACAGCCAAAAGTCTCAAGAATGATCTAACGCGATTAAAAGGAACCAGCAAGGAATCGTGAGGACGCGCACCTGCCGCCCTCCTGAGTTATTGGCTCCTAAACGGCTCTCCCCCCAATCCGTGATATCCCTTATTTACCCGTAAGGCACTTGGCAGCTGCTAAATGGCTGTCTATGGCAGTTTGGTGGAAACAATAATAATACATTATAAATCAATGAAAATGAAGTTTTTGCTGTGATAATCTGATATAGATTTGCTAACATTGTATGAAATTCAATTCTGTTTGATTGCATCAGCATATGCTTCATTTCTTCCAGCACTATCGATTTTGAAGGTTCTTATCCATATGTCTAAATTATTTCTATTACATTTCTGTATTACTGTTTAGAAATAACCTGGGTAAACTGAAGCCATTTATTTCATTTTCAGTTGTTTTCCCTTCTTTCCTTCCTAGTTAAACGCTCAGGTCTACATTTTGAACGGGAAGAAATGTCTTTCTAAGAAAGTCTTCCTTTCTTCACCAACAGTTAAGCTGTCATTGTAAGGTGCCCGTTTCCATTTTTAGCATTTATTGTTGTCATTATTGTTATTATTTCATTGTTATTGTTTTCTGGGAGCGTCTGTCTGTTATGAAGGGTCAGATTTTCAAAGAACGCTTTAAATGATCCTGAAATCTACAGCTGCGTATTAATCTTCTGGGAAAGAAAAGTAGGATTGTGCATCTTACTGATTGTGATCTTACTGGCCAATTAACAAGTGATGATGCTGAATTTTCGTCAGAGACAAAAGAAAAGAAAACCAAAGGGGAAATCTCTTATATCTGTCTAGTGCTTTGGGGTTTTCAAAACTCTTGTGCAAACTTGCGCTCCTCTGACAGAACATCCTCCCGCGTGGGCAGAGCAGGACTTGAGGCTCTCGCTTGGTGGAACAGAGGGGACTGGTTCCCGCCAGGATCAGGACAAGAACTCAGGTCTCCCACTCCTGCCCAGGAGATCTCCATCTCAGCCTGCAGACCCAATCTTCTCCACTCAGAGTCTTCAGTTAATATCACCTGGTGTGGGGGAGCATGTGGGAGAGGAAAAAGTTAATATATTCAGTTAATGAGGCTTTTCTACTTTAAAATGAAATTGATTTCTAAGTAAGCGCGCCAAACAGCCTGTCATATGGCCTTAAAACATTTCTGAGTCTTCCATTTTTTACCGTTACATGATGATTTCTTGCCCAGATAGTGGTACTTTTCTCTCAAACTTAACCTGCCATCTTTTATAAACCAACCTACATATTATAAATAAAGCAATTTATTTTAATTGTAAAATAGGCTTTTAAAATAATGAGACTAAATTGCAATATTATGAATTGTACACCCACGGCCCCCCAGAACCCCAAAGGTGGAAGAAACATTTTCTGCATTTGGAGATCGCGTCAGCAATTCCTGTGCATACCTTAAATCTGTATTTACGTGTGAGACAAAACCACTTCGTGCATCACAAGTCATCTTCAAACACAATTTTTATCTTCTCTGAGACAAATTCCACCCGTGGATGAGACTCGGTGGCACGTGGCCCTGCTCGACAAGGCACCGGATGGGAAATTAGTCTGCCTCTATTTTCTGTAGCATCATCACTCCCTTTTTTCATCCACGGTCCTTAATTTCTAAATAAGTACTCTTAGGAAAATACAAAACAATACAATTGGCAGAGTCAACATGTGTCCTCGGTGCCTCTGCAGGGTAGAAAAAGGCCTCAGAGCCCGGCTTGCCGCCCAAGGCTGGACAAATGGAGAGAGGGCAGAACAAAGGAGCCAGGGCTGGAGTCGCCTCAAGAAGCCGGCGGTCCCCGCAGCCCCACTTGATTCAGCCAAGACAATCCAGGACAGATGGCTGTCTCTGCTGGTCCCACATGCCCCCAGGGACGGACCCCACCAGCTCCCTCATAACGTGTTTCAGGGTTAAATAAACGATCTTCACCTGAGCTGTTTGGAGCTTTACAACTAAGCATTCAGAAAGCATATAGTACGTAAGCCCACAAAATGCTTATAAAACCACTTGATTCCATTTGATGAGGCATCAACCTCTTTGCAAAAGGAACAGACAGCTTTGGCAAATATATTTTAAAGTCATGCATTAAGCTTATTTAACAGAAACTTTATTCCAATCAAATTAGGCCTCTCTCTCTATATATATATATTTGTCCCTTCTGTGAGTTATCACCAGGAATCAGTTGGTCAATAAGAGATCCGTTTAACTGATTTTAACAGAGGAAATAGAGCTTTAAGGTTAAAGAGATGTTTTTCAAAAACCCTGAAAGCATCAAATCACTTTATCAGAAGTAAAATTTCAGATGCTTATTTACACAATGCCTCTGATTAGCAACTATCTATCTTTATTTGCAGGTCAAATGTTGATCTGAAAATTTTAACATAAGTCCTAACTCAAAGTTTAATTTGTACCACTTCTGATTCAACTTCATGTTTCACTGAAACTCTTTCTTTAGGGAATTTTACACTATGATTTTGCAGATATTTTCGCACTCGCTCCCCATCATTCATTCTCACGGCAACATCCCCAAGACGCCTGCTGGGGACGGTCATGCCTCAGGCCGAGTGGGGCACATGGAGGCAGGAGCAAGCTGCCAGCACCGTGTGGCGTGGCTCACGTCACTTCCACTCCTCTTCTCACACGTGCGAAGACTGGAGCACAAAAAGGCAAAGACGTGACATTCCTAGGAAAGCCAGAACTCATAGAGCGGGAAAAGGAACAAGGTCCACATATCAGGCTCCCAGATTGTTCTGTTTTTTTGTGCACATACACTATCCAAACCCTACTCCTTACTGATAACCTAACATTCCATCCCCTAAAATCACACCCGGCACTTGATCGCATGCGCACGTGAACAGCGTCTCCTGGAATGGCGTTCAATACAAAAGCACAGTTTGGACTTTTGGAAGGAAGAAGTAATATCTCGCAGACATCTCTGGGCTGGTGAGGGGTTGGAATCACTCTCCCACGAACCAAGGATCCTTACAAGAGACAGAGGTGGGGCGCGCGCACGCGCTGGTTGTTAAAGATGCCCTCCCTGGCCCGCTTTCCCAGTTTCTTGAGTTACTCGCCGCCCGCAAGGCTTCGATGTGCTCAGACGGCGTCATCTCCTCTGTGACGACCGACCCCGGGCATCCCCGTTTCCTTCTGCTAAAGTCCCTCCAGACCCGGTGCCGTTGCCTGTCTGCCCTGCTGTCCTCAGCGGTCACCCTGAACGGGGGTCTCTGAGGGGTCCCCGGGAGGCAGTGCGGTGTGGCAGGACAGGCCCAGCACTGGGGGCTCGTCCTGACTCTGCTCTGTGCTGCCGCCGGGCTCCCAGCGGGTCCCTCGGCTCCCCCGGCCTCCATCTCTCCCTGAAGAGCCGGCGTCCTCTGCTCCTCTCTGCTCTGAGGCTGTTTTCCTAGGAGCCACCTGAAGTCTCCCGCATTTACCGATCACTGCGTCCTGCTAACTCAAATCTCCTCCACCAGACGGTAAGGGGCCTGAGAGGAGGTGCTTACGTCGCCCATGAGTGACAACCGCCGGGCCTGGCTTCCAAAAGCCCGTCGCAGAACATCCTAAGGCAAAAACCTCTGACTGGAAGGCGCCATGCTTGTGCTGGAAGTCGGTCAACGGCTCGCGGCATCAGTGCGATCCCCGGTGGTGGGGACAGGAGACACCAGGGGTGGCATGCCTTCCCCCCCCCACCCCCCACCCCCGCAAACGGAGTCAGGGCAGCCACAACACACAAGCAGTAAAAACCTGGGGCTACACCCCTCGGACTCTTTCTCATCCCATTTTCTCCATTTCTGCCACAATACAAGCCAACTCAGATCACTAAAATAACCCACTTAGTCTGTATTTTTGTCAACTCTCATTACGCTCTCCGAGAAGCCTGGGAGCTGGGAGGGAACTCACGTGGCAGGGAGGGTAGTTGAGGAGGGTCCGGTCCCAGGGGCCACAAGGCAGGCTCCACGGGGCTGCCCAGATTTCTCCCCAGGGCTGCGCTGCCACGGGAAGCGCCCGCACACGGAGCCAGGACCTCAGGAGCAGGCGGCCTCGTAGGCAGCTCTTGAATGCAAGACCACAGACCGCTCACGCGAGCCGTGGGATGCTGTGCGACGCTGTATGGCTTGTTGTTGTTGGGGGGGTGGGGGGGGGGGGGGGGGGGATTTCTTAGTTTCAGAAATAAAATAATAAGACAGGCTTCAACTCTTCTGCTCTGGGGGCTCCGCAGCCCCGCGATCTGCTGAAGCCTGTCGCGCCGGCTTATGGTGACTTAGGACCATGCAGAGGGGGCTCCCTACGCCACAGGCACTTTTTCCTCAACCTCTGCTTTCTCCTATTTCTCACAGGCACTTTCTTACTTTCTCTGCTGCCTCTTTCTCCTTTTTCAATCTTTCTCATCTGGCCCTTCCATTGTTATTCACCCTGTTTATTGCTTCAAGCAACCCTGACACGCTGGACATCATCTGAAACTACAAACGACAGGAAGCAATAAGCTGCAGAATACCAGCAATCTGAGGAAAGTTCTTCATTCACTCCTGCTCCTAACTCTCTGTCTTCTTATCCTACATAGAAAATAAAAAAATCAATACCACCTCACAGGGCTTGATAAAAGTGCCGGCCGAGTACAGCAGGCGTGCTGGATATAGTAAATTAAAGTGATCAAAATTTTCCAGTCGACTCTGCCTATCCCCTCCATAAACTAACAGCCCTGTCTGCCGCGTGTCCGTCAACTGGAAGCTTTATTTTATCTGTGCCTCTGATTATCTGGGGAATGAATACATACCTGCCTGGGTCTGGGAGCCTCAACATCTGGGGGTGAATGTGTGTGCCTGGGGAGGGGCGACAAAGGGGCTGAGGAAGGGGCCAGATGCCCAATTTCATTCATGTGTGTGCTTCGGCCCCAGATGCAGGTTATGGGGCGAATGGGAAAGTGCAGATGGGAGCCCTGCATGTTTAGGCTCACAAGCGTCAGGGAGAAAATCAGCCCTCAGTGTTGTATATATGCAGAAACCAAGTGCAAGCTGGACAGGAGTGGGCTGGCCAGTGGCCCAGCTCTACCCTCATCAGCTATGCAGCCTTAGACAAGTGAAGCCACCTAAGGAAGCCTCAGAGTCTCGTCTGCAAAGTAATAACAGTAATAGTAACATCAGAGGACAATGTTGCAGACCTCAGCTGGTGGCGGTGAGCATTTTAAAAACAATTTAGTATACAAAGCACCTCAGATATCACAGCACTCACAGATGTTTTTCTTCCCCTATATGTGTGCAAAATCACGCATATACACACAGGCATGGACACACTTACACTTACACACGCTTATGCACACACATACACACGTAGGCATGCACACATACTTGCAAATACACACACGCAAACACATACACACGTGCATACACCATAAGAAACTGAAATATTGTATGCTTTCCTTCTCACTAAAAGACAATTTTCCATCTAGGTTGACAGATAAACATTCAATGTACATATTCCTGATACACGAAATCATGAAAAAATATAGATTCAATAGCAACTTTTTACATACAATTTACCAACGTAGAAATAAACATTTCATTTAGCTCTCAAGTACAATTCATATTAACTTTACAATCCACTGGGCTGCCTCCAGTAAGAGATGGAGTGTCTATGCTCTCTACGATGACAGCTGGGAAATCGCTGGCATTGCTACCATTAGCCCAATTCTCCCATCAAAACCCATGACCCTTGTTAAGTAACTGACATTTGTCCAACGTTGGAAATGAACTAATAGTTTCCATCGACCATGAGAGAAATGAAGAAGGAATCAGAGAGCAAATCAGCATGCCCAGGCCAGCCACAGAGAAATCACGGGACAGCAGCCAGACAGTGCAGGAGCACAGGTACAAATTAATGGGGCAAATTCCACCTGTGAATGCACATGCACGTTTCCAAGTGCAGAATGTGGACCCCAAACTGCCTTGGAGATAAAAGAACTGAACTCGAATATCTCTGTTAACCGCCCACCTGAGCAGGACGTTGATTCCAGCAGGAGTTCTGAGCTGGACGAACTGCCCAGACGTGGCCAGTGAATGGGACATCTGCGGAGGCAGCAATCAGTCCCAAAGGGTGGTGGCTCATCCCAGGAAACCAACAGGGGACCAGAGAAGGCAGTTGGGGCCTGAGGCCAGGAGCCAGTGCACGTCTGGCTCTGCCGCTCTCCACACTCACTGCCTGTCCATACGGACCCTCTCTCACTCAAGTCCTCGTGGGTGTAAAATCTGGATAATGAACTTGCATTTTGGTATTGCTGAGAAGATTAAAGTGGATACATACACAACGCCTGGTATGATGTCTGGGTTCAGTGAATGGTAGCAGCCCTCTGCAAAACCTGAAATAATTCACCATAAGCTGCCAAACCTTTCCCCCAGGCTAGTCGCTGATGAAGGGCTGGTGATGGGACAGGGCGCACACAGTCACATGCAAAAACAAAAGCAGAGAGAATGAACTTCCCAAACCGGCTCTTCCCCAGGAGCATGGGCGTGTCCAAACCCAATGAGCCAGTGGAGGAGTGGGACGCAGGCAACAGACACCCTGGGTCTGATCTCACTCTGTCACCATGGGGAACACCTCACCTTCAGAAAAATAGATGTCTTATTATGGAAACATTCAGACACATAAAAATAGAGTAATACTGTGAATCCACGTAGCTATCCAGTGTCCACACTGTCAACACCCCATCAGCCGTGTGCTCCCCGATTCCTCCCTCACCCCCACACTGTGTTGGGGCAAATCCCAGACAGATTACTGCCTCAAACACCTCTTCTTTGTCCACACAGCCCTCTCATCGTTATTACACTTCAAATACTTAACATTAATTTCCTCATATTATCAAACATCCAGGCAGTTTTCAAATATGCCGGATTGTCTCTTCACAGGTGGTTTATCTGAATTTTCATGATGCTTTTCAAAGGCAGAGTCTGGGCCGTGAGCAGCCCTTAGCCTGAGTTCCAGCACAAGAGGCCTGGCCGTAGACAGTGAGCTCAGTTCTACTGCAGGCTCCTGTCTGTCACCAAACACCTCTTCCTCAGCCTTCAGCCATCCCTGAATTTCTCTCCATTGGAGTTTCTCCTGAGTTGGACGACAGTTACGAGGAGGCCCCTGTCCCCTTTGCCATCATTTCGTTTGAGGTTGACTCCAGCAAGGGTGTCAGCACCAGAAGCCTCAGTCTGCAAAACAGGGAGCTTGCAGGCCATCAGAGGCTCAAATTTCATCTCTCAGTTCCTGGGCTGCAGGAGAGAAGTGAACACCGGGAGTCACCCTCCCAGCCGCACGGCCTCCAGCCCAGAAGCAGCTCCTCCTTTGTGGTCCAGATGGAGACAGAGCGAAGGGGAGGCGCTCTCTTCCTTTAGTGCCTGTCCGAAGAGCTTTCCGGTGCAGTTCTGTCTTACTAAACGTCTCACCAGCTGTAATCTTCTTTCTCATCTCTTTTTAAAAAGAAAAAAATTGTCTATTGACACACTGACAGCTTGAGTCAAACTTTCCTAATTTCTTCTTAAACTCTCCTTGTTCCCATCTTCATCCTCCCCGGCAACACGCTCTCCTCCCCAGATCTGCCCCTCTGGTTGAAGAGCGTGTCATAAGCTTGTCTGAATAAACGTAAGTCATCGACAGACGTACAACCCGGGGCCCACTGAGGACAACTGTGGGTCTAGGAGCCCAGTGTCTGCTAGAGTTTCTACCATTTTCACGGTCAAGGTTGAAACATCTAATAACAGAATCTCTCCTAAGGGGTCCAGAGTGACGACTTGCGGAGGTCCCAGCCTCCCCACCCAACCCCAACAGACGGCTGGGCCTCGTGGGTCTGCTCAGGGCCTCCCCAGCTTTGAACCAGCTTGTGGGTTTTCCTCAGCAAGATTCTTATACCCAATTTATTAGAAGTTGATTAATACTTGCAAAATTTTAACCTTTTCATCTAACATCTAATTTGGGGAAGCATTTTACAGTTTCAAAAAGGATGTGATTTAAAATGTACCCGTGTAAAGCGGAGATGAACGTAAACTGCATGACCGTGGGATTTAGGGGACAATGCTGGATAACGCAACTTCTGGAGGCTCACTCCTCTGGCCCAGTGACCTCCACGATGGCATCCCACAGCGGTCCTTTGGGACAAAGGAGAAGAAAAGAAGAAAATGAACATTTCCCCATCATCTAGTTGTGTCCTGATAAAAAAAAAGGAATGAGGAAGAGCATGCCTCTTTCTCCAAAATTCACTTGGAGTCACCTCACATTTCCCCCAAAACTCTCTAACAGAACTACCGGAGCTCGTGGCTTTTCTCTGCCCCAGGGAGACAGCAGGACTCGGAGGGACAGAGAGGGGCACAGAGTCACACGAGCCTGCCGCAAAGGGCTGAGGCCGTCAGAACTCAGGACAGCAATGGGGGACATTCGAGACACAACAGGAAGAGGGCCCTCCCACCGTGACACCCCCACGAGGGGACCACGCCCACCTGGCAAGCCTGGGAAAGTCAGCCATGGCCCTCCAGTGCAGAACAACTTGTTTTAAAACCGGACTTCAACATTTGCAAAATGATACAAAAAGTTCTCATCTCTCCTGGAGTGAAAAAGAAAAAGGAAAGAAAAAAGAAATCATCTGTGGCATATTTGTGGTTTCATTGAATTTCCCTCCCAAGCTGTTTTTACTCACCAACTTGGTTTGGCCACTGAAGGGGGCTGTAATTTAAATAATTCCTCAGGTATTTACCGTGTGTACCATCGGGAATCGGCCTGGCACTAAGATCCAATGATCCCAGGGCACGAATTCTCAAATGGGGATTTTCACTCCCACAAAAGGAAGG